TGCCCCCGTGACTCCACCAAGCTGAGACCACTGGGAGATCACACCTGGCCTTTCCTAGACTTAGCCCACACACCTTTTTTCCTTTGCTAATTTTAATCTATATCCTTTCATTGTAATGAACCAAAACCGTGAGTAGAGCAGTGTTTTTGGAGTTTTGTGAGTCCTTTCAGTGAACCTTTGAACCTGTTCTGGGAAGTCCTGACTACACAGACAAGAAAGTCCTGATAGAGAAGATGACAAGAACAAAAGGAGCCGTGCAAATGCTGAGGAAAGAGCCTCGAGGTGTTGAGAAAGGCAGGTGTGAACGCCCAAGATGGGAGTGTGCCCAGCACAAGACAGAGGGGGGAGAGCAGAGGGTGGGTGGCGGCCTTCCAGGGAGAGAGCCTCGTGGTCCAGGACCTTATACCACAAGGAAACAAGACTTTCATGCTGAGTGATGGGGGAATCACTGTAGGGTGCTAAGGGGAGGCGAGACCTGCTGTGACTTACGTTTTAAAAGGTCACTCCATCTGCTGTGCTAAGAAGAAAGTTCAGGCAGATGGGGACCCAGGTAAGAAACTTGGAATAATCCACCCGAGACATAAGCGTAGCTGAACGAGAACAGAGGGACAAGAATGAGAAACAGGGAAAATTGTCAGATTTTGCATTGATTTTGGAGACAGAGCTAAACAAAGTTTGTAACAAAGTGGATGTGAGCTATAAGAAAAAGGAATTTAAGAGTGACCCCAAGGTTTTGGCCAGAAAATTAAAGGATGGTGTGACCACCTTCTAGAAGACAAAGGCCCTAAGAAGAGCACATCTGCAACATGGAAGGGGTGCAGAACAGGAGTTTGGTATGAACATGGAGATGCTAAGTAGGCAGCTGGATGTTAAATCAAAAGTCCAGGGACAAGGTCTGGCTGGAGACATTAAATATGGGAGTCATCAGCATGGAGGTGGTATTTAAAGCCACGGGCTCAGATGAGATCACCAAGGGAGTGAGTGCAGGCAGAAGAGAGAAGAGGTCCCAAGAACAAGCCCTGGAGTGCTCCACCATGCAGAAACTGGAGAGATGAGGAGAAACCAGCTCCAGATATGCCTGAGGAGCAGCCAGTGAGTGATGAGGAAAACCAGGAGGCCGTATTGTCCCAGAAGACAGGAAAGAAACTCTGAGAAGGACCAGGGAGTGATCCACTTGTTAAACACTGCTGCTGCTAGCCAAGTAAGAGCAACTATGAGAAGCCGGTGTTCGCAGCCAGCAACATGGCAGCCCTGGGGCCCTTAGCAGGAGTACAGTTGGTGGAGCCATAGAGCAGGTGCAGGCAGCAGAGGAGGAGAGGAGCTGCAGGTGGGGAGAGTAGCCCGTGTTCTAGAGAAGGAAAAGCCAAAGGGAGCAGGAAGTGGGCCAGGCGCCGAAGGAGAGCACACAGGCCCAGAGAAAGTGGTGTGGTTGTTTGCAATTGTTGTTCTTTTAATGAAAGCTGGGAGAAATTATAGCATGGTAGAGTGTTAATGGGACACTCACTGAGGGAGAAAAAAACTGATGATACTGGCGAAAGGAAGCTGCTGGCTGGACGTCCTTGTCCTTGAGAGGTAAAGGGCTGGACAGCAGCCTCACGGAGGGCTCCATCTTGTTTGCCTGTGCAGACCTCAGCGAGGGGGAGGAGAGAGGAGGCAGAGAGCACAGGCACAGACCCAGGTGGGTGGCAGATTGGCCTTTCTCATTTCTACTGCGCTGATGAGGGAAGAATGCGGTAGCACTGCTGCATGAGGGGACACAGCTAACCCCGCTCTGAAGCAGAATCCGTGACCATCCACCCCACCAAGGGCCTGGCTTCCGCCTGGGTGTCACGGCCCTTCCGCCTGTGTGTGTTTGTGATTGTGTCTCCACGCACCCCGGCTGGCCTCTCCCACCCAACCTGCCTTCCACTCTCTGTCTTTCCCCTTTTTTGTTTTTCTACATCTCCCCCTCCCTTCATGTTTACGTGGGGAGGGGGCCTCCTCAGGCCTGGGTGTGGGGCCAACTTTCCCGCCCCAGCCCTAACTTCCAACTGGAACTTCCAGTTTCTGCTTAACAAAGAATCCCATTCTGAAGCCAAGCTAGGGCGGGGCCTCTCCAGGAAACTTGGCTGCCTCCATCTCCAATTTTGCTTATTTAACGAGTGCGTCTGTGGCCCTTGGTCCATGCCAGGCCCTCTGTAAGCACCTTCCTATGTCAGTTCATTTCACCCTTCCCCGCCAGTTGGGTGCTGTGGATCCTGCCACTTTACACCTGGGTACGCTGAGGCTCAGGGCGACTCCCTCACCCGAAGTCAGACACCCGAGCCCAGAGTCTGCGCTCTGAAGCACTCCCACCACTGCCTCCTTTCCTAGGCCTTTCTCCTTCTTTCTCCACCCTGCTCTCTGCAAACCTCCATTCATGAGAGAGGACACCTGGGTCTGGTCCAGCTTGTGTGTGACTTTCAGCCGTGGGCTCCTTGCTGCCTTGTTAATCAAGTGAGGGGGAACGGGGAAGGCACCCTGACCTCCTGCCAGCACACACGAGCCACCCAACCTGAGTGTCGCCAACTGTGAGCCCTAACATCAACACTGACCTGGCACTCACCCCTCAGCGAAGGCTAGAGCCAGCCACCCCCAGCCAGGCCCCAGCCCTTCCCAAGTGAGAAAGCGTTTCTGGAAGCCTGAATCCAGGCCACAAGAGGGCACAGGCACCCTGAATTCCCACACAAGCCTGTCACCTCACTTCACCCTGCTTCCTCCCTCTTGTTACCCCACCTGCACCCAGCTCCACTCAGGAGGATGAGCTCAGCATGTGCTCTGGGCCCTGCCCTTCCAGGTGGTGGGAGCCCAGGGTGGGGGAAGGACTGTGGCTTCACCTCGAGAGGAAATCGGTCCCCCCCAGACCTCCACAACACTCAGCCTCTCGTCCAGGCCTTGTCACCCACCGCAGCCGTGTGCATCTCAACCCCAACCCACTCTATCTGAACACGCCCTCACTCGGCACCTTGCCTTGTCTCCAAATCCAGCCCCAGCCTCACAGGACGCCATCCGTGACCTCATCCCCATGTGTCCCGTCTACAGCCCGATCCTCTCCCAGGACAACCCCACTGCCATCTAAAACCCGACCCCACCCCAACCAGCTGCCACCCTCCAACTCACTGCCTTCCCGGGCCACCCCCTGCGACCCCCACGCCTCTGCTCAATTCCTGTGTACACCCAGCTTCTCTGCAGATGTCTTGTCGGGGAGGGAGCTCTCTGACTTTCTGGAGTCTCTGCCTCTCTTTACCTACAACCTTTGAACTATTTTACAACTTCTGCATTGTAGATAGCCGATAGCATGGCAAATAATCCTGGTTCCAAACCACACAAGTGAATTTTGTCAAATGGAAAGACAAGCACTCACCCTGTCCCTGTGTGCAATAAGCCACTTGGACGTGTCTTTGTGAATCCATTTCATATTCCTGATTGCCAGCCTGTATGTGGCGCTTTGCAACATCTTACTGTTAGGCATTTATGACTGAGTCGAAATAAAACCTTTTTTTTTGTTTTGGAACCAGGGATCAAACTCGGGTCCTTGTGCTTGTGAGGCAGGCAGCAGAACCACTGAGCTAAATCCCTGGCCCAGAATAAAACCTTTGACGTGTTTGTTTTGTAGATGTTGGAGCCGGGCGGGTGGACCCTTTTTATACAGCACCTTTTAGCACTAGATTTGACCCCTGCCTGCAGGGCCTAAGGCGCCAGGGCCTCTCCAGTTTTGAGGTGAAGTCTCAACCTCCCCACCCCTGTCCCCCGTTTTCATGATGACATCACTCGCTCTTTCTCTCCCAAGTGGCTTCCTTCCAAATTCTGACCCCACCTCTGGGCTTCTCGAGGCTTAATCCTACCCCCTCCACCCCCTGGGATTAAGTGGGGGCCCCACCCGGCCACAGTTCCAGAAGGGCCTGCTCATCCCCCCAACACCAGCGCTTCCTCCTTCCTCTTCCCCACTCCCACCCAGCCCCTGCCCAAGCCCAGCAGGCTTCTGACAGATGCTCCGCCCGCCCGTGAACTCTCTCAGCCGTCGGACTCTTCCTCAAGGGCTGTTTCTCCTTTACTGGTGTGTCATCCAGGAGCACAGCCCTTGTCCCCAGCGAGCCTGAGGCCAGCAGACACACTCTGCCACAGAGCTAGTTCCGTGCTTGGCCTCATGGGGGCGGGTGGGGGAGTCCTGGATGGCACCAATGTGGGCATCTTTGTGAATTTCAGAAGAAAAAGGGCTGGTGGTAGCTTAGGAATTGGAACCTGGGTGGGCTGGCTTTAATGTTGAGAGATAAACAAGAGATAAATTGACCCCAGGCTGGCAATGAGATTGGAGGTGAGGGGCAGGTGGGCTGAGGGAAGGGGCGTGGCTAAGTGGCAGAGATGCTGTCATGGGGCAGAAAAGGCCCTCGAGGAGCTCCCGTACCTAACAACTGTGCACACTTCGTAGAGGAGGGAGGACCGGGATGGAAACAGGTTGAAATCAGAGATGGCCAAGGAGTTTGGGAAGGAAATGGGTTTTCCCCTTCCCCTCGGTTGGGCCCTCGTGCCCGGAAAGTTCAACACGGGTTCACCTCGGAATGGGCGGGGCCAGGTCTGGGTCCCAGCGCATCCTAGAAGCTCCGCCCCACGCGGAGGGCCGAGCCCAGAGCCGGGGTGCCCGTAGCCAGCCTGCTGAGCCACTGGGGGTGGAGAGGGGGAGCCAGCCACCGGGAAATGCTGAGCGCGCTGGGGGAGGGCGTTGAGGGGTTAAAAGCCATGGGTCGAGGCTGAAGTTGTAAGTAGCTGGCTGCCGAAGTTGTGCGCCGGGACCCCTCCCTCAGGTAGGGTCGCCTGGGGGGGCGGGGCGGGGCGGGGTACTGGAGGGGAAGAAGGGAACGGGGCGTAGAGGAGGGGGCTGAGGGGAGGCAAGGGATCCCCAAGGCGCGAGAGGCACGGGAAGAGAGACCTGCAGAGACCAGAGACGGAGGAGGACGAAGCTCACGGAGTGGCCCGAAACTTAGGGGAGACCCAGGGTCCCCAGAGAGGGGCGAGAGGGTCTGAGCGGAGCATGCAGGGCAGCTTGGAAGTGGCGCATGCACTGTGAACCCCGCTCCTGGTGGGCAGGGGACCAGGGCTCGGCCTCCTTGGGAGAGGGGCAGCCCGCAGGAGCCTGGGGGTGCACGCTGGGACCGCCCCCCCCAAGAATGGAGTTGGGGAAGGGGCAGATTCTAGGGTTAGGGTTTCCACGTGAAACCAGCATGAGTGGAGAGGAAGGCTGAAGACTGGAACTCGCAGGAGCAGCGAATTTCAGACAAGGGGGATCCGGGGTCACAGCCCAACACCCTTCGCCCTCTCCCAGGTCCCGCCCACCCTGTCCCCGGGGCCCCGAACCCGCCATGTGGCCCCTGGCCGCTGCCGTCGCCTGCCTGACCCTGGCCCTGTCAGGAGGTAGGTATGCGCGGGGGCGAGGCGCGGTGCCCACTCGGACAGCGGTGGGAAGGGCCAGGCCGGGCGAGGGGGCGTGGGACCCCGAGCCCCGCCCCCACCCACTCCGCCGGCCAGGCCAGGCCCGCGCGGGCGGCCCGGGAGCCTCCTCCGCTCCCCGTGTGACCTGGTTTTCGGCCTGGGGCCGGCCCAGGGACCCTAGGTCCTTCCCCTCTGACCCTAGGAACGACCGGCTCTGGGCGCCCCCCACAGCATCCCCTCGCACGGTCCCCCCTCCCTCCGGCCAGGGGCTCAGAGGAACAGGAGGGCTGGTGCCAGTCTTTGAGCAAATGACTTCAGCTTCCTTGTGCCTCTGAGTTTTCGTCCGGAAAATGGGACGGATGTGTGGTCACCACCGAGGGCTCCTGTGCTTGGGGAAATGGGGACACGGAGGTTGGACCTTAGCTTCCATTCCGAGACCTTCTAGGTTGCCCTTCCCTTAATCCTGGAGGGGGCCCCACCCAAGCTTTGTCCCCAGAGAGTCCTCTTCCTCCACCGTGAAGGCCTCCTCCCCGGCCTTTGCAGAAGAGTTCTATGGAGACTCCACTCGTGAGGCATTCATTCATTCATTCATTCCATAAACAACTGCTGAGCAGCCAGTGCTGTGCTTGGTGCTGGACAAGCAGAGACACAGTCAACACCCAGTACTTCGCTGGGTGGGATTATTCAAACGATTACTCAAATAATTAGCTAGCAATTAATTGCCACTGGGAGGTAAGAGGAGGGCCCAAGGAGCCACACAGAAGCCCAGACACCATGGCGATGCCCAGCCTGAAGACCTCCCAAGGCCTTTGCTCTGGAGCGCAGGCCTGGAGGAGGGGTTCTCCAGGTGCCTGGCACCCAGACCTTCCTGGCCTGCGGGTGAGGTGGCTCCTCTCCCTTGTTGACACTCCCAGGACTCACACTCACGCTCCTTCTGGGTGCGGCACCCCAGGATTAGAGCCCCACATGCTACGTCTTGTGAGATCCTCAGCAGTGATGAGGTAGGTCCACTCTGGCCCACTTTCAAGCTGGAAAGCCCAAGACTCAGAGAGAGAGGAGAGGGTCCTGCCCCACAGACATGGGCCGTGCTGGGCTGGGACGGGGACCAGGTTGTACACCCTGTCCAGATCCCAGACTTCCGGAGCCGCTCACTGTGCTCATCACTTGTGGCTTAATGAGCTTCTTAACCTCAGTTCTTATTACAAAGTGAAGTTGGCGAGGCAGTGGTGGCGCAGACCTGTAATCCTAACACTGTGAGGCTGAAGCAGAAGGATCACAAATTCATACCCAGACCGCGCAGCTTAGCAGTTTAGGGAGATCCTGTCTCAAAGTAAAAATGCAAACAAAAGAGCTGGTGATGAAGTTCAGTATGAAGGCCCTGGGCTCAATCCCCAGGGATGCAAAAATTAAATAGAAAGATGATAGATGATGAGATGGATAGATAGATAGATAGCTAGATAGATGATAGATGATAGATGGTAAGGGGGACCCTGCACAATGAAAACAAAACAATATGTTCATTGGGCTGAGTCACCTGAACTTGCAGCTGGTGACCTCTCTGACCTCTCTAAAGTAGCTACCGCAGATGATTCAACTTTGTGAAGGCCAGGTTGTCTGCTGAGGGCTTCTGCTTTTAAAAGTGAGCTCAGGGAGGACCAGAGAGGATAGAACTCAGAGATGATTGGCATCACCACGAGATGTTTACGCGCGAGAACTGGACAGCGGCTCCCTTTCTGAGTTTGCAGTGTAGTGTCACTTATACCTCATGTCCCACCTAAAATGATCGCCTGCCCCCTCTTCATGACTCCTGATCCTAACTTTAAAAGCCATGGAACCAGTTGCAGTGCTCAGCTGTGGGTGGAGGAGGTCCCGGGGAGGAGGGACTCGGGTTCATCACTAGTAAGGACTTCCCTCTTGCAGAGAACCAGGCCTGTGCTGGCTGCTGCATTGCAGGTTTGAACCACAGGTCTTACTGAGTCCTGTAACCACCTTGAGCGTGAAGAACTGGCCCCTTGGCCCTCTGCTCCCACAGTTCTCACACTGGTTCAGCTAACTGTGGGCCAAAATTATCCAGAAGGACGCTGCATCTGTACTGAACTTGCAGACTTTTATGTCACGATTCCCTAAACAGTATAGTAGAACAACTATTTGCATCACATTTTGCATTTTGTTAAGTATAAGTCCTCTGGAGATAACTTGTCCTACAGAGGAAGGTTGCATAGGTGATGTGTAAATGCTTCACAGGTTTATGTAAGGGACTTGAGAGTCTCTGGATTTCCCATGCACACGGAGGGACAACTGTACTCTTCTTACTTGACAGCTGGGGAAACTGAGGCTGGTGACCTCAGGTACAAGGCTGCATGGTAAGACACCAGCCAATTCAGGACTAGATTTTCTGTCCCACTGCTATGCAGGCAATGCTGAGTACAATGTACGGCACACATACGGTTGTTTATTGAGCACTGAGCATGTGCCAGGTGCTGTGCTAGGTCTGCAGGATGGGGCTCTGAACAAAATAATTAGGGCACCTGTTGTCTGGAGCTCGCAGTCAAAGTGGGGAGATTTTTTTTAAGGAAACATAAAGGGGAACAAATAATAGTGATTACTATGCTGATGAAAGTCGGTTGGGGGTGTCATGAGGTGTTCCTGGGACCCAGGGGTGGGGGCAACATAGACCAAGTGACGAAGAGGACCTCTCTGAAGAGGTGACATTTGACCTGAGCTCCCAGAATCAAGGAGGACCCAGGTGCGTGGCTTTAGATGCTGGGTGCCGTGCAGTAGAACCCTCACATGTCTCTGTCTGGACTGCCAGGCATGGCAGCCACTGGGCACCCAGGACACTCGAGCATTTGAAATGTGGCTGACATCACTGAAGAACTGCGTTTTTAATTTAACTTAACATTGTTTTAGCTAATTTAAAAATTAAAGAGCTATGTATGGCTAGTGGCTACCCTATAGGCCAGCAAACAGCGAGAAGTCCAAGGGTCTGGTGTGTTTGAAGAGCAGGTGCATGAGGCTGGAACAGAGTGAGCCAGAGGACAGAGGCAGGGGAGGTGGACAGAGGCTGCCAGGTGATGCAGGGTCCTGCGAACTTCAGAAAGGCTTCAGGGTTTTGTTTCACAGGGAGTCAAGCCTGGCAAAGATATTGTCTAACCGTCTGGTTTGAAAATTCTTTAGGCTGCTTTGAGAAGCCTGGATTGAAGGGATGTGAAAGTGAAAGCATTTAGGTTGCCATTGCAGTCATTCAGACTGGGGAAGACAGGACATGGGCCAAGATGGTGGCAGGGAGCCAGAGAGCACTGTATACTTAGCAGCTAAAACCAACAGGACTTGTTGGTCATGAGTGACTAGGAAAGAGGGGAAGCAGAGATGGTTCTTAACCTTAGGGCTGAACTCCAGGGTGGAGAGACTGAAAGGAGTAGTTTAGGTTGAGAAAAATCAAATTAGGGACACAAAATTTGAAGATACATGGAAGACATTCAAGTTGACAGGGTTTGAGTTTTCAGCTTTAAAAAAGAATTCAGAACTAGAGATGTGAATTTGAGCATAGTTGGACTTTAGGTGGTATTTAGAGCCATAGAGGCACCTGTAAAACATGGATGGATGGATGGATGGATGGATGGATGGATGGATGGATGGATGGATAAATGGATGGGTGGATGGATGGATGGATGGATGGATGGATAAATGGATGGGTGGATGGATG